GATGTGCTGGTAAACCACACACGCTCCATCAAAATGACAATTATGAGATACCCATTACTACTCTTTATTAGTGCCTTTTAGTGTGCTGGTTAACCACACACGCTCCACTAACGACCAATAAAGCATAATGTGCAATTTCATGGATTAGCATACTTTTCACATTTTTCCTAAAGTAACTAGAGTTGGGATTTTGAAAATAATGTTCTAGTACTTTCTTTAATATCATTATACTTTTAATGAGAAGTAGTTGTCCTATCAAATCCGTTCTGCTAACGACCCTCCACTAATCAAGGAAGCGGTGGGTGAGAGTGGACACCCATTCAACTACCATTTTATAGGCAGTTTCCTTATACCCCCCTTATAGATTAGCTTCGTGAATGAGGCATACTAGCGATTTGACTGACCATATTCTTATACATATATAATATTAAACTTTTAATTATAATATATATATAAGGTGTGTTTTAAAACATTTTAAAACTTCAAGGGTTTATAAATTTCGAAATTTAAGCTATTAAATTTAAATTTAAATAAACCAATTAACTAGATTTAATATTTATCTTTTAATTAACTATTAATCAAATTATTAAATCTTGTAAGGATTATCTAATTAAATTAATCCATTAATTTAATCCTAATCCTTATCCCTCTAAATTTCGAAAAATAGGGTAAGGATAATTATCCAATTAATCTAATTAAGTAACAATTATCCAAAACAAGAAACCCTAGTTATCCTCTAGCATATTTCGAAATTCACAAGGGAGTAGGCTAGGGTTTTCAAAACCCTAACCCTAATTTCGATTAGGGTTCTTTGGAGGCTAGGGTTTTCGAAAAAAACCTTTGATCCAAAACCCTAGAAATCGAAAATTTGGCCTTTAGGGTTTAATAGCTATAAACCCTAATTTGCAATTCAACAATTGTAGCAATTCAATTTAAAACAACAATGGCTCTGATACCACTGATGGGTTTTAGGTAAAACAAATAAACTAGAAAACAATTCCTAAGTTCACATGCAACCTACTTTGGATCTATGTTTTAACTATTGAACATACAACTTTGAATTGCAAAACAAGAACCCTAGAGGAGAGAGGCTAATTTCGAAATTAACAAACTAGGGTTTAGGGTTTACATACCTTTCAATTGTTATAGCAAACAATTGATAATCCCTTGATCTTGATCTTGATCTTCTTGGAAGCTTAGCACCAAAGTGTAATGCCTCTAATGGAATCACACCCAAGAACTAGCAAGAAGGAAACTTAGAGGAGAGAGGATGGAGAGAGTATGCAATTTCGGCCTTAGGGTTTCTTCCAAAGAAACCAGTGACCTCAAATGTGAGCCAGGAGGCTCCTTAAATAGCTGAGGGATCTAGGGTTTAGGGAAAACCCTAGTTATCCTTTGCTTAGGGCCTAAGCAAGACCCAAGGCCTTATCTTGGACCCCTTGGACGAATTCTCTAGGGTTTCCCCTAGGGTTTCGTCCACCCCCTTCCAAGGGAGTTCTGGAGCCTTCCACTCAACTATCGTTAATTGCAAACTAGTCCCTGCACTTTATAATTAATTCTTTTAACCCCAAAATCAATTCTGATTAATTTCTGGCTAACAATTAATTAAACATAATGATTTCTAATTAATATATTAATCCATTAACATATTAATAAATCATTTATATATATATATATATATATATATATATATATATATTAATTTATTAATCTTATAAATTAATATCTCTCCTTTCATAATTTCCTTGTCCAGTTGCTAGGTTGAGGGCAACCCAAAAGGACTGTGCTGCTATCAATTCAAGTACATACCAATTATAGTTATGGGCTTAGACACCTAATCCAACATCCTAGCTACTCATTTAGTAGATAAACAAAAAACATTTTTAAAATGCAAAATAATTGAAAATTTTCGAATTTTTTTTTCAAATATTATTTTCGGAATATATATTTTACAAAAAAATATAAAAAAAATACCAAATTTTTTTTAAAAAAAATACATTTTTTTACATATTCTACTAGAATATTAGAATATTTTACATATCTGACAAATCTAGTAGAATATTCTAACATTCTAAAAATCACATCAGAATTTTTACAGTGTAATATTCTATTAGTATATTTCACGTATTTTAAAAAAAACGATAATTTTTTTATTTATTTTAATTTTTTTTATTTTTTTTAGGTCATTAAAGTTCCGAAAATAATAATTAAAAAAAGAATTTTTGGATTTTTCCTTTTATTTTGCATTTTAAAATTATTTTTAGATTTTGTCTCACGTCTCACAAATTTAGCATGGGCTCAAATGAACCTGAACTTATATATAATATATATATATATAATATATATATATATATATCTATAATAGATATATAAAGTTTAAAGGGAAAAAAAAAAAAACAATTATGACGATAACTCGCTTTATTTCATTTTGTGTTTTGGATGTGGACAGGGTATAGGTTATTTGTCCGAATGTTCCCGTTAAATTTTTAGTTATATAATTGTATATGTATATAAATATAAAGGTTATTTCATTCAGTTTTCAATACCCTTTGTAACATGTCGAGCAAGGGGTTGCATTCATGAACAGTTAGTCTCAATACAAAACGTACATATAAATTATAATTGGTATAATTTATGATTCAAGAACACTAACTCACGGGTCAAGTATACAGGAGCATACTATTATACAAAGAATAAGGATTTGATTCAAAACTAGACAAGTGTGAACAACTTACATTACAATTCAAGTATACTTAACAAGGAACATACTATCAATCATTTACTTCAGAATGATTGATTTTTCTTTACTATTATACACGTAACGTCTATATGCTTTTTATGAGTAAATGTTCAGGTTGTTTGTACATTTAAACAACATAGTTAAAGTCCTGTGATTATAACCAGAATCTCCATCCGGAGATCGAGACAAATGTGTATAGATCTATATTGGGATTGACAATCCTGCACTCAGAATGTTAGCTACAGTGGGCAGGCATGCTTATAAGTGACAATTGTTATCAACAGTTCCGACGCCTCCAAAGCGTTGTTTTCAGGCCCTCTAGTCATAGTATGGTTATAATAACTCATCAAAAAGATATTAACAATACGGTTAGTGTATAATTAACTAAACATGAGTAAATTTTCAAAGTACTAGTTTTACAAAAAGATACAAGTTACAGTATAACAGTACATTTTACGATAACAGCTGGTGGAGCCAGGCACACTCACATTTACAGTTTTACAAGGGAATACAAACAACGAACACCAATATACAAACAGGAAGTTTAAAGAATAGTTTTTCTGTGATTATTTAGCGTGTACACCAGAGTTGTATATGATGAGAAACTGATAGATAGTAGAATGTGTGACGTCTGTTTTGCTTCATTTTCTTTGTTTGGATGTGGCCGTACGGTAGAATCGCACAATCAGTTGTCTGTCCGTTTCTTCTGATTATATATAATATGTACATACTAAGTGGTCATAGGATGGTCTTACATTGCATATCTGGTCTCAAGTCAAAAGAACATAACAAACGGAAAACTGGCTTTTGTAGTTTTATGGTGAATTAAAACTAAGTTTTCTGTTACATAGTACTTCAACACTCATTTAGAACGGTTTTATGGGATTAAAACTACTTTTCAATCACATCAGAAAATATAGGATTTTCTGGGATAAACAATATCATTTTACAAGTAAACTAGTACATTATAAAGGATTCTTAAAGGTTAATATTATGATTTCTTAGCCTATACATTCCCGAGTTATATATGATGAAGACCCGATAGACAATAGAATGTGAGATTTCTATCTTATTTCCTTTTCCTTGTTTGGATGTGGAACTAATGTAGAACCCCACAATCTATTATCCGCCCGACCTTGATTATATTATAACGTGTAAAAGCTAAGTGATGGCATATATTAATTTAACACTTAGTTATAATTGGTATAACTTATATGACTTTTTGTTTGATCTATAATACCTTAGTTTATACCCCAGGGTTACATATGATGAAGACTTGATAGACTAGAGAATGTGTGAATTCCATTTTACTTCCTTTTCCTTGTTTGGATGTGGACTTACGGTGGAATTACACAATCGATTGTCCGTCTAATCTTGATTATATGTAACAGGTATATAAACTAAGTGATTATAGAAAGAACCGGCTTAGTCACACTTCTCATTAAGAAAATATAGGATTTTCTTATAGATCACGCGAACCTATTTAAAGAAACAAAGAAGATACTTTATATAACAAAATACTTATGCACTCACCAGCTTTAATGCTGATACTTGCTTTTCAAAATACTTGTATTCTCAGGGATCTAGTAAGACAGGTATTCTGACAGGAGTCGCGAAGATGGAGCATAGTAGCTTTTCGTCTTATCTTTTGATACAATTATAATATTAAACATGTAATGTTTTGAATACATTGTAAACACTTTAATATCAATACTATGTATGTTGTTGCTTTGATTACTATGATACAATTGTTGTGATACTACATATGACGTCCTCCGCCCCCGAACGTTTCCGCCGTTCCGGTTTGGGGGTGTGACAGACACTCTCACATCCAAATTGCCAATTAGAAAGTCTTTCTCAATGGACTCCTGCTTTAACATTACAATCTCTTGTTTAAGCTCATAAATGTTTTGTTGAGAGTCTTCATCACCTCCGTGCCCTGAGCCAATAGATATTCCCTTTCCTCTTGACTGAGGAATAGAGTCTTGAAAGGCAAGTAGCTTGGCTAGCTGGATAGATGCAACATCGTGCTCTGGAGTGGTGGGGCAGATGAGCTTCCCTAGGTAAACGTTTCCTCATGAGCTAAAAAGTCGAAGCCTTCGCCACAAATTGGACTTTGAACATCTTGATGAACCTGGGCTGGTTCAATAATTGGGCTTTGATCATCCTGATGAACCTGAATTGGAGTGACAATCGGGCTTTGGTCATCTTGAATAACCTGGGCTGGTTCAACAATCGGAGTTTGGTCATCTTGAATAACTTAGGTTGGTTCAACAATCGGAGTTGGCTGTTGTACTGGTTCAGTAACAAGCACTCCCGGCCTTGGATCTCTACGTCTTCGCTTTCTTGGCACCAAGGAGGCGTTTAAATCATCTTTATCACTCTCAGATGGAGATTCAGGAGTAACAGGAACTGCTTGGGGAGGCTTCCTTGCAGTTGACTGTAACCGAGCGATAAGAGCTTCTATCTGTTCGGGTGTGGGATCGTTTGGTTGCTTAAAAATGTTGATTTCTTTTTCTGTCTCAGCTGGAGAAATCACAGCCTCATTGACCGGATCCTTCGGTGGTACAAACATACGAAAATCCATACCATCATCATCACTATCACAACCATCATCATCATTATTAACATCATAATCATCATCACTATCAGAAACCTCAAACGAAAAACTGAGATTTGGTCTTGATGGCGCCACATGTTCTTCGGCCACCATAGCAATTGGAGTACTTGAAGTTTGAATACCTTCTGTCTCTGCAAACTTTCCAAAATTTACCAGCTCCTTCAATCCTTGATAGGCCACTTTGGCTACTTTTCTTGATTGCTTCATGAGCCTAAAGGTGTTGGCACCCAAGGCTTTCATATCCAAAGTATCAGACGACCTCTTAATTTGGGGATATTTTTCATTAAAGATCATTTGAAGGAACCTGGGATACATCAAAAATAGGTCATTCTTCTTCCCCTGAAGGTTGCTTTTCATTTCTTCAAAGACAAACCTTGAAAAGTTGTAATCCCAGTCCATTGCTAGAGCGACAATGGCTGAGGTCGCAGTCTGACTAATTTCATCCGATCCACCCTTCCTTCCAGAAATACAAATTACAAAGTAGAGTGCCAGAAACCTCCAGAAAGGTGGTAGCAGCTTCTTGACGGTGGGAGGATAGGTTCCTTCGTAACACATCTTCTCATGGGCTATCTTAACTTGATCAGCAGAATACTCAATTGGAAATGCAGGTGCATCACCAAATTCAAGTACTTCTCGGATAACTTGCTCAGAAATAACTACTTGAGTTCCCTTCACCATCGAATCAATAGCATCGGCTCCATCTGTTCCTTGCTTTTTGATTGAAGCATTTTTCCAGAATTCAGTTATCAGGTTTTTGAAGATGACTGGATTAACACGTAGAGCATGAGAAATCCTGCAATTGTTCAAACCCACGATCATGGATTTGAATTCCTTGTGTGCGGCAGGTGGATCCAAGAGATATCCTGCGATATTGTGAGAATCTACAAACTTCAACTGATCCGCCATTTAACTGCACCAAACGAATCAAGTGAGAATCATAAAAATTAAAAATAAAATTTTATTTTCTCAAAAATTCATATTTTGGTCAAAAATGTCGATTTCGGTCAAAAGGAAGTGAATTCGGTCAAACTATGGGATTTCAGTGAAAAACTGTTGATTTCGGTCAAGCTTTGAGTTTTCGGTAGAAAGGAAACGTTTTCGGTCAGATTCGATCGATTTCGGTCAGTTTGGCATGTCAAACCCAACAATTAATAGGGGTACAACAGACTCCAAATACACTTCTTTAATGCACTAAAATTTAGTACAAGGCAAGCAGAGTCGAACCACAGAGACACGGGATAAAAGTCTATACATCTTTGCGCAAGGTACTTTGGTCACAAAGGGGGATTTGTTTGCAAAAGTAAAAAAATAAAATAACAATCAACCTTAAAAGCATGCACAAAATGAAATAAACTTGTAAACAATTTGATTGAAGGATTCTAGTTCTAGTTCTCAATGTTGTTGTTCAACTTGATTATGACTTGATGTAATTCATGATTGCTATTCTAATTTGGTACTGAAAGATATTAACACGCTCTAATACCTCTCGCTTGTCAAATTATCTATCCAAAACACGCTCTTTGACTAGACCTAGCTTTACTTATTCAACCTAAACACGCTCTTAGATTGTATTGAAAAAATGCATTAAGTTTTGTACAAGCTTCCCAACAATGTTCATTTCTTCTCATACGCTCGGAAGTGTGAAAACATGTGATATATGTTTTACAATAAGAAAACTTATTGTTTGTTACCAAATATTAACTTCATAGAACGATTAGGTGCCCTAAAAGTTAATTAACTACACAAAAATTCAATTCATGAAAGTGGCCAATCAAACACAAATCAAATTCAAGGATTCTAGTTTAAGCAAAAACATAATCACTAGTATAGAATCACAAATCAAACATCAAATCATATGCTTCAAGTCAAGCAATCAACATGTTTTGAACAAGAACTAGAAATTAGGGTTTCTTAGCCACACATGGCTAAGAACAAATCAAACAAGAACAAAGATGGAATTGAAATGTCTAATGCTTACTAAAATGAATCAAAAGTGTTTGCAATGATTTGGTCTTCTTAAAAGCTCCAAGAATTCTCCCAAAATCGCCCAAACTTGTTCCATAAACCGTCCCTTGATGAAATGGCGACGTCTTCACTTGTTTTATTAATGCTCACGTGCTTGCATTGCGTTTTTTCCATGCCTTTTTGCCCATGTGTTTTTGGCATCATTTGTCACCAGCATGGCCCATGTTCTTCATGATCAGTCAGCTTCACCGCGAGTCATGTTGCTAAAATATAAGATGATAAAGGACAAACACGACCCTGTCGGTGTGACATAATGTTTCAAACGTAGTCCTTTGCACAATGAAGGTTCCGTCTTCTTGTTCTCTTCCATGGCAACCGGTACATCTTCTTTTCATCCAAGTGTTCCAAGATCCAAGCTCCAGTATCCAGGCATAATTCTTAATAAAATATGCAATTGCCCAATTGATTAACTAAATGCAACAATTATGAAGTAGAATGCTGTGAAATGGCGGAATAAACATGCAAAATAGGTGCATAAAATGCACCTATCAAACCTCCCCAAGCTTAGACCTTTCTTGTCCTCAAGAAAGAACAAAATGAAGAATCACCTTAGAGAAGACGATAGGCGACTAAAAAGAAACTAAGATCAAAAGAACAGAAAGAACGAAGAGGGCTTAAAGGGAACAAAGAGTGAATGCATGTAATAAAAGAAAAACTAATGAAAATAATATATGTACAAAAAATTGCTTAAGAAAAATGAACCGAAGAAAAAAAAAAATTCAAAAACACGAATTTTTTTTAATATTATTATTATTACTATTTTTTTATACGATCAGACTTTACATCGATAGGGCTCCAATCACTAATACCTAGGCAACCATCCTGCTACCTTTCATGTATCGCAGACTCCCAAAGTGAGGAAGACCATGAAATGGTGTAACCCAATAGTCTAACCATAGTTTTAATTAAACTTTGTACCTTAATTAGCTTTGTGAGCGAAAATAACACAACCCGAGATCTCATGTCCTTAAGACTAGATAGTCAAGAATCAGAATCGACGCATCCTTAAGAACCCATCATGACAAATTAGCTTTCGCTGAAGCAGTGAGCCCACCCGAAGGGGCCCAACTCCTATGCTTTCACTTTTTCGAGAGCCACAAGTATCATATCACACAGTTCTTCATTCAAGTATCATATTTGACACATGGCTTCTTTGAACTTGTCATATTTTCTTTTTGAGATGGCTTCTGATTTGATTGAACTTGGATTTGTATCTTCGTTTTAAGCTTGAGTTCTTCAATCAACTTTTTAAGCTTGAGTTCTTCAATCAACTTTTTGGATTTCTTAAAATTTCTTCGATTGAGTGTTTGAAATTTTGATTTGGGTACTGGATATGACAGTTGTACCATTTCTTCCTTCTTGACTGTGTGGATCTGATACTTAAGCTCTCTGTTACCGCGAGGGTAACGCGTGTCAACAAATAGGTCCGTGTTCTGTAGGTCCAGAGTTGTCGATAAAGATTCTTTTTAAACATTCAAAAGCAAATCATCCTAAAGCTGTTATTACCGCTCACAAAAACGTTTCAGTATGCCATTTTTTTTATTATCTAAGGTCGGTGTCTCAAATTACGGTGTTTGGGTCCCCTAGTTATGAGAGCTGATTCTACACTTTCAGTAACGACCCGGTCGCTTCAGAATTTTTTCATTTTGGTTTTTCGTTTTCCCACTTCGTGGAGCTATCGTATGTAAAGATTGTCTTCATCTCGTATTATTTTTTATTTTATTTTAATTTTTTCTAATATTTTTTTTTAATTTTTAATTTTTTTTTCCGAAACAATGCATGAAAATGAGATGCAAAAACTAGAATAATATTTTTGGGTTTTATAATGAAAATAAGAAAAGTAAAAAAAAAATTGTTTTTTTGTTATGAAATGCATGTAAAAACTAGAACCTAATGTACAAAGACCCCTCCCCAATCTTAAGATTAAACATCGTCCTCGATGCTCAGAGAGAGTAGGGAAACCTACTAAGACACGAATGTATAACTATATAGAGCATATTAACGAATTCTCAACAATTCTGGTGAAACAATCTTAGTATCATGCATCAAACTTGAGATATGGAAGGAATGTACCATTCAAATGCTTGAATGTGATGTGTGCTTGACTTTTTCACTTCATCTTCAACTTCAAGAAAAGTTGAGCTCTTCAATGGTGGAATACACAAATGGAGGTAAAAGCTTCTCTTCTTCTTTACAAAATACCTCCCCAAGCTTGCTCTTGAAACCCTTGGAGCTTTAATCTAGAAAAAAAATTGAACAAAAATTGGAGCTTTTATGTGGATTTAGGAAGAATTAACGATAGGGTTTAGAGAGGAATATGGAGGCACGTCGACTGAGGTTTAGAGGGAGGAAGGAACGCACGAAACGTGAGGGGGAAGAGTGAAGCAAAAAAATCATTTTTTTAATAAAACAAAGAAGTCGAAAAAACGCATGCACATGCTTCCATACGCACGACCCTTTCCAACTCGTGAGTTTTTCTCAAAAAAACATTGGATTCGCGACTTTGAAACTAAAACGCATGGTCAAGGGTTAAAAACACATGGTCACATGTTGGCCCGTGCATTTTTCTAATAGGCCGTGTGTTTTTTTAAGAAACAATTGAGAATGCGTCTCCTACACATGGTCTAGGGACATGCCGTGTGTTTTCGGTCCAGCCCATGCGTTTTTAGCATGACCCTTGAATTTTGGCATTAGGCTACACAATTTTTTTTTTTGAAACTTGCGACTCGCACGCACGGTCTAGCCATAGGTCATGCATTTTTTTGATCTAGCCCCCGCGTTTTGGAGTTTGTCCATGCCAAAAATTTTTTTTTATTAAAAACCTCGACTTCCTTGCACGGGGAAAAAATTGGACCGTGCTTTTTATGCCTAGCCCATGCGATTTTTGTACATGCCCACGCTTTTTATTTCTATAATCCAAAAAGTCACGTTTTTTTTTGTTAACCTCACAAAAACGTTTTTGTTTTTAACACATGACTCCCACTCAATCTTTTAGATAGTTTTTTTTGAACTCTAAAAAGACTCAAAACATTGCAACACAACAAAATAAAGTAAATAAAAGAAGAATA